TGCCCAGAGTCACTTCCTCAGGAGATGGGCGGTATCGAAATTCAAAATATAAATAAGTTTCTAGTTCCCTGATCATCTTTACTGTCTTTCTCTGAATCTGCTCCATATTACTTGAATTCATCTTAAAGCATGGTCTCCAGAAACTGATACAGTTCTCAAGGTGGAGTCTAACAAGTAGTGTGCTGGAGCCAGCTTGTACTGACTTGCAAGAGACGATTGTTAAATTTTCTGGAATTTTGTGGACTAGTTGAGAGCAGAGCAGAGCCACAATGGCTAGTGCAGTGATTAGCTGTTCTGCAGTTAGTAGCAGGGCAGTGGCAATGGAGCCGGCAGTGTTGGTGAAAGCCAGTTGTTAAAAATTTACCACAACACCACTGGGTCTGACCAATGCAGAATGAAGTGTAACTACAGGTAGTCCTTGTTTAGTGACTGCCTCATTTAGCTACCATTCGCAGTTATGACAGCGGTGAAAAAGTAACTTTGTGACCAGTCCTTGCATTTACAACCTTCACAAGTCTGTAAAACAAAGGAAAGTTGAAGTAAGATCATAAGTATAGTCGCAGTTTCACTTAGTGACCGCTTCGCGTAATTACCAAGTTACCAGTCCTAATTGTGGTTGCTAAACGAGGACTACCCGTATTACTTTTTGTGATTTCGGTATTGATGCAACTTAAAAGTGCATTTGGCCTCTTGTTGTACCCAGATCATACTACTGACTCACATTCATTATGTAACCAGGTTTTATTCCAATATTCATATCACAAATACTGTTGCAAAGCCAGCTGTCCCCTATCCTTATAAGGGCTGAATTTGGTGAGGCAGGAACCATTACTTGTCTTCCCTGGCTTGAGAACTTTTGGTTCTGTCTTTGCCAGCTTCAGCCCTTGCAATCTTATACCTGTGCATTTTATTTTTGTTTCCTAATTGCACTAAACTGCACTTGTCTGTCTTAAATTTCATTCTGTTAGTTTCAGCCTGTTTCTCTAACCTATCAAAATAGTTTTGAGTGCTGTTCCTAACTTCTAGGATATTAAGTTTTCTATCAAATTTTGTATCATCAGTAAATTTAGTAAGAATACAAGTAGTCCTGTCTTAACGACCACAATAAGGACCAGAAAAGTGGTTGTTAAGTGGGGCGGTCATTAAATGAGTCACCATGTTACTGGACCCGATTTTATGACCATTTTTACAATGGTCATTAAGCAAACCATGTGGTCATTAAGCAAATTCAGCTTCCCCAATGGACTTTTTTTGCCAGAATTCACTTAACAACCACATGATTCACTTAACAAATATGGTGATTCATTTAACAGCCATCATAAAAAAGGTTGCAAATTGCGATCACATGACCATGGGGTGGTGCAGTGGTTTGCAATAATCATAAATGCGAGTACAGGTCATAAAGAACTTTTTCCAAGACCATCATAATTTTGAACTGTCGTTAAATGGTCATTAAGCGAGGACTACCTGTACATCCTACTTCCTCATCCAAGACTTTAATGAAAAATATAGATAAGTTCAGGGCACAGAATTGTGACTCCCCCCTGAGTTCCTAAATCTGCTTTGAAAAGGAGCCAATGATAAGCATTCGCAACTGTATTCAGCTTCTACCTTTACATTATTGTGTTCATGGTAAATAAATGCTTATTAGAAGTAATTTAATATTTTAGCATCTTACAACTTTATCCAGAAATAAGTTCCATTTAATTCACTTGTAATATTTCTGTAATTTGTTTTCAAGGGAGGACATCTAAAAGGATCTATAATTATCTCAGAGTATCAGGGGAGAAAGGCCCTCAGGTAGGAAGACAAGTTTTAGCTGGTAGGTGAAAATTGAAAGCCACACTCTGGCCTTTACCTTCATCAAACCTGATTTAAGTTGTAAGGTTGCATTAAAAACACAACAACACACCTGAAACACCATCCTGAGGAATTTGGACTGAACAAGTTCCAAGGGGCCAAAGCTAGAAAATAGTCTGAGTTGCACTCCATATGTGAGCTGAACCAGAGATTTAGCGTGAAATATTAAAGCTGTTTCTAGTTTGGTCCTTGAATCAGTTTAAATCTTAAGTGGGACATCTGCAAATTTGTGATATTTCAAATATGTTACAGGATGTATTCCTATTGCTAGCAATGAAGTGCTAAAGGAAATATTAAATTCACTGTAAAATAAAAATGGTGTACTGGAGAATAATATCCTTTGTCAGGATCCTTTGACATCCTGTGATTACATCTTGTGTTTCTTTGTAGATTGTTAAACCAACATTTGTTTTTTTGATATCATTTTAATGACATGAGGATGCAATATGTACTGAAGTAAAGCTTAATTTGAAATATTTGGTTTTGCAGTACCTTTTTAAAAATAGCATTTAAAAGGTTATAAAACCCCAACACTATTATTTTATGCCTAAATCTTGGTAGATATTACAGTACTATTTAGAACTGATCAAATAATTGATTTGGTGAGGTTTACCTCAATCCAGTGTTAAGATTGCCAGGGGAATGTCATGATCTGTATAATCTATCATTTGTATAATCTATCATCAAACAGTTCTGAAGTCATAGTTATAAAACAAAAATAAACCATGAAAAACCTTTAACCCCCACCAACTACCATTATAACCATTATTTGAAATGAATGTGTATTCCTTAAATGTATAGAAAAGGTATAGTGTGTATGCATGAAGCAGACCACTTTGAAAGCACTAGCATCAATGAAGTGTGCATTTATAGCCAGTATTGTTCTTTCTGATCTGATTCAGAGTTCTGTTTGTACCTGGATTCAGTACAAATTCTCCAGATTAAATAGACTCTTATTTTTGAAACCCAGTGTAGTCCACTCAGAGATGACACAATGTGTGATTTAAACATATGTTAGTTTTTCAGATGACAAGTCATTTCATGAGTAGATTAAGTATTCCTTTTCTTGAAGTTTTTATTTGAATAATGAAGTTGTAAGTTTAGATCATTTGGGCACTGTTCTTTGCATTATCAGTGAGCTTTTAGCTATTAATATTTTTTCCACATTCATTCCATATTTACCAGTGTGAGTTAGATTCTTCATTATTTATACTGCTATTTCTTGCTGAAAAGAATTTACTAATCTGTAGTTCATATGAGTGCTGTTATATCTTGTTTGGTCTTAATTGAATCACTTTTTAAATTGGAAAACTTTTCATTGCTATAAAGCTCTGGTTTAATAAATGAAGCTAAAAAGTATTGTGTTATTAATTTTTCATGCTTTTTGTTGACAACTAAAAGCAGTTTAAATAAAATATTTGATTACATTCTTTATACTATATTATTTATTTTGGAATGTTAAAGGCTATGCAAAAATAAATAAGTCTTGTATAACCCTCTGATTTCATTGTCATACCTTTTCATGATAGTGGAGTTTTAACTTCACTCATTTCAACTACATTTTAGTTGGATTGAGATTATTTCTAAAATATTAAAATCATCATAATCATATGATTATTCAGCTTTTCAGTTTTATATGCTACAGTATTCTATACATTTTTATATAAGAAAATAAAAGTACTGTGTATGTTTTGAAAACGAAAACTAAACTGGTGACTCAAAAATATTGATGACAATGAAATCTACATATTAACAAGTCTTAATATCATATTTTACTTATATATTAAAATAGAGGGGAAATATTCATCTTCCATGTTGGTTCAGTGAAAGGTTGCAGTAGATTATTATTTCTATCATAGAAGCAGTTAGTTAATAGATAAAGGATCTGTAAAGTTTTGAAGAGTTTCCAATTTTTCACATGCTTATATATTTTATGTTCCTTAATTAAACGAATGCCAGGTTTGGTCGGCCTGGAGTTGAATGCTACTGCCAACATGATAGTGGTGCTGCAGTAATCCAGCTTCAGTTTTTGATCAATGAGGTTTGTAAACTTATGGTATAATTCGTGTCTGATTCCTTTACCGAGTTTTTTTTTTTTTAGATAATTTAGAAACTTGTATTATATTATCATAGTATTTAAAAGTGCGAGAAGAATTTGTGATTTGCTTGCTTAAAAAAAACCCCATTCACTAAGGATTCTTTAAATTAAAGTTTGGTCTCTATTTGTTGCTGAATTAAAAAATTAGTTTATTGTGAGTATCTCCACCTATCCAAATGTCATTTTTAACATAATACTGAATATGGATGTTTAAAATCATTAAGATTATATGTTCTTTCCCCTCTTGGTAGTGTTTGCTTGTGGTTGTTGATATTTTTATTTGTGCTGTCTTTTTATTATTAAAAATTTGTTATTACGTATGATTAAATGTAAATTGAAAAAAATGCCTCTGCCTGAACTAAACAATTATTGGATAATGAGTTGTAGGAATTTCTATTACTTTTTAAAATTAGTGTATATACTAATTGGGTAAAATGGCAAACCGTATTTTTTCATTCAAAGCCTCTTTGAATTGTGTACTGCCTCTTTATTTTATGCATACAAATAAAGGAGATCAGAAGGTGATGTTCTTTTCAAAGCTACATTGGGATTCTAATATCAAATGATTAACTCTAAATGACATAATCAGAAATAAAGGAAAATTAATGACAATAATCTTGCCATTTTGTATTTGCAAAATCAGTAACTTCAAATATCTTGAGTTTATCTTTCAATTGCTATTGTAGGACTGGTTTTCCTAAAAAGTGTCCTTAAATCTCTATAGATTCCATCGTTAAACTTATTTTTCTCTTTTAAGGGTGCCCTTGTGAGTGCCTTGGCTGATGATACCTTACACTTATGGAACTTGCGTCAGAAGAGACCAGCTATATTGCATTCCCTGAAATTCAACAGAGAAAGGTAAATATATACATATATATACACACACACACTTATATTATGCACACACTACCCACATACATATATTGTTTTCATCTTATATTATGTTGATCAACCTTAGCACGTTTCAAAAGAACACTCTAGGATCCCCATAGGATGATGTATTTCTAAAAATGTTACTCAGATGAGTTCAATGAGCAAAAAAAGGCATCATGCCCTAAAGAAAGGCAAGAGTAAGGAATGCAAAAAAGATTATTTTAAAAGGTCATATATCCATCATTTCATTAAGACAATAAAAAAGCAATAAAAATGATGCTAAATGAGACCAGAAAGTGGTTGTTAAGTGACATGGTCATAAGTCAAAAAACCATGTGACTGTGCTGCTTACCGATGGCAGTTCTGGCAGTCCAGCTGCCATTGTTATATGAGGACTTCACGTGACTCTAACTCCCAATTTCCTGCGGGCTTCCCCATTGACTTTGCTTGTAGGAAACTGTCAAGGAAGGTCACAAATCACGTTCATATGACCACGGGGACACTGTGATGGCTGCAAGTGTGAGATCCTGTCATAACTACCAGTTGTTCAGCACTGTCATAAGTTTGAATGGTCACTGAATGAGTGGTCATTAAACAAGGACCACCTGTAGATCAGAAGAAAGATATTGATTAGAGAAGCATTTGGACTGTTTGAAGAGAAGTGTCTTAAAGTATAAGTAGTCCTTGAGTTACAACTGCAATTGGGACTGGGATTGCTGTTGCTCAGCAATGCTGTCATAAAGTGTGACATTATGTGAATGCACTGCTTAGCAACAGCAATCCAGGCAGTCCTGGCTGTCATTGTAACCCAAGATGTGCAGGTCATTAAGTGGGAAGCGAAGAGAGTCCCAGGTAAGGAGCGTGGAGGTGCCACAGGTGGTGGGGGAGGCCCTGGGAGGCCTGGCGTGGGCTGCACACGAGACAGGGAAGGGTGCTCGGTGTGGTGTGAGCTCAGAAAGGATGTGGAAAGAGCATGCGGGGTGCATGTGTGCAAGCTCAGAAAGGCCTGGAAAGAGGTTGTGGGGTACATGTGATCGCAGGGAGGCCATGGAAAGAGTGTGCAGGGTGCGTGTAATTGCAGGAAAGCTGTGGAAAGAGGGCATGGAAGTGCATATGTGTGTGCGAGCACAGAGGCTGAGGAAAGATGACACATGGTACATGCATGCATGTGTGCAGTTGCAGGTAGGCCATGGAAAGAGGGTGCGGGATGCTTGTGTGCATGTATGTGTGCGAACACAGGGAGGCTGAGGAAAGAGGGCATGGGAGGGTATGGGAAGGAGGGCACAGTGCATGCAAGTGAAGAAAGGCCAGAGGGGGAGACTTACCCCAACGACTTGCAATCTTCCTTGCCCACTTCCCATTGACTTAGCTTGGAGGAAGCTGGCAGGGAAGGTTGCAAGCCATTCCTGCCTGCTGAGAGGACTCCCTCTCATCTCTGGGGGCTGCCTGAAAAAGCTTTGTGCCAAAACCCAAGTAGGATTTTCAGCCATGGAGGATTTTCAGCCCTAGAGTGGAGAGGCTTCCCCAAAGCTCCGTGCACTAAATGCCCTATGCCAAAATCCTGCTGTTTAGTACACAGAGATTTGGGGGCTGCCTGAAAAAGATTCATGCTGAAATCCATGCAGGATTTTCAGCCACGGAGGATTTTCAGCCCAGAGTGCAGAACTTTCAAAAGCCTCTGGGGCTGAAAATCCAAGTAGTTCTGAGGCCCTCACACACCAACCCACACTGCAGCCCTGCATACCCTCCCTGACCCTCCCATGCACCCCCTTGCTGTCCCCCACCCGGCAGCACCTGGGACTTGCAAATTCCTGCCAGCTTCCCCACTGAATCGACTGGGGGAAGTCAGCAGGAAATTGTCTTGCCTAATGACTGGGGCGTTCACTTAACGACAGCAACTGGGACTGCCGGGATTGCAGTCACTAAGTGATGCAGTCACGTGACATTTCACCTAATGACTGCATTGCTTAGGGATGGAAGTTCTGGTCCCAATTGCGGTCATTAGGTAAGGACTACCTGTGTTATGAATATACACGTTTATAGTAACGTTGCTGATTTTTGAGACTGAAGTAAAAATAATGAGCTTCTGCCTTTCAGATAGCAACAGGTAAATTCTTTTGCTCAATACAGGCAGTCCCCATAAGTTGGGCTTCAAGGTGCCATCTCAGTTTGGGAAAAGGTCCTGGTTAGCAGGAAAGGCATACGCTACCAACTCATACTAAAGTGGATCATTTATAGTTCTGATTGTGTTCCTTGATTATCTACAAGCTACTTACACCATGTTCTTGTGACCTACTTCGTCCCTGGTTCTAAGAATCAGTTAGGAAGTCTGGTATTTGCTTCAGTAAGCTTCATATAGTTAGGGTTAGGGTTTTTGTTTGTTTGTTTTTGCTTCTTACCATCTAGCAGATCACTTTGCTGTCAGAAGTTCCTTCTTAGTTTTCTTTCTGCCTAACTTCCACTGTCTGAAGTCATCTACCTTCTTCCTTACCAAACTTTCTAATGTATAGCCTTCCTCCCTAAAATGTTTGTATAAATATTTCCTTATAATTACTAAACACTCTAGTTTGTAAAGTGAGATTCAGGAAATTGTAGGCAAATTAGACTAATACCAGTTCCAGATGTATTGGTATAGTGTGTTATTAATGTCAACATTTTCAAGCAAGTAAAAGGGCAAATTCTGTTGAGAAGAAAATCACCAGTTTCAATAAAGTATATCCAGTTTCACTAACTGTTTAGAATTTTAAATACATATGTGGATAGAAATGGTCCAGTAGACTTTGCTAACTTGGACTTCCAAATGGTTTTTTCCCCATCAAATTCTTCATAAAAGCTGTTCAGCAAACTCAGTAGTCACAGATAAGATGAAACATTTTCTTATAGATGGGTTAAAGAATAAAAGCAAAACTAAGAATAAATGGTTTGTTTTCATATAGGGGCAATGTAAACAGTGGGTTCAATGTTGAGAGAAGATTTTAATTGTTCATAAGGTATCAGAACTTAATGGTGAAGTAGGTGCGTAAAATAAAACTCTGCATTCGTATTACTTATTTGGAGAGGTGAATGAGAAGAGGACAAATGCCACACAGACAACTGAGCACTGAATTTGAAATAGCTATAGCCTGTAAAAAGTTATAGCCAACATAAGTTTTGCTATACTACACACACAGCATGGATCACATACATTTTAGAGAAGACAGAACTATAAATGACCCATTTAGCATGAGTTGGTAGGACTGTATATGCCTTTCCTGCCAACCAGCCTCAGGAATGACGGTTTTTTGAGAAGACAGCAAGAAAGCTCAATAACATTTGTAGATTAAGGGAAAAAAGCCAACACACAACTACAAAGTCCATCAAGTGAATGTGATCTTTGCTACTCTTTATTGGTGTGATCAGCCATTAAAGAATATGAAAGGAAGAATGGATTTTTGAGAATATT